CACATGCGAAATTACACAGAAATGCGACGTACGGAAGAATGCGTTTTGGCTGCGAACATCTTCCAAAAAACTTGGCATCTCTTAACCATGGGCAAAAACATCTGGAACCACTTATAAAAACCACCCCGTATCTGCATGAACTTTTACCCCCCCCCCACTGCTATTCCAAACAACGCGTTTTTCTGGACCATTCCAATTCGCCTCGTAATTGTAGGGGTGCGTCTGCGATATTACATTGACCGCGAAAGCAGCAACGGCAAAAATACACATTCGTGCATCAACACGGGCATGCCCGCAGACGGCGTATAAAATTGCGTGCCGATTACACAAAGAGAACCCAGTGTTTTGACTGCGAACATGAAAAATCAGCCGATTACAACACTCCGTCCGGAGGTCCTGACCTCCTTCACGGAGTAACAAAGACAATTATCTAAACGGGAATTTTATTGTAGACAAATGAAAGTACATAAAAACTAAATAACCTGCTACATTGACCGAGATATTCGTTGCACGAGACACAAGGTCTATGTGCCCTGGTCAATAGATGGGAAGGTCGAGGTCTTTCCTGTTTTCCTTTTACGGGTCGATGAATTGCATTATCGAGCCAACAGAGGGCGATTTTACATCAACCTAAAATCCCCACGACTCCGTTCCTTTAAAAGAAGATTCTGTTTGCAAATGGACTCAGTATACGCCCTGATATTATAATGGATTGTACACTATACATTGATAAGCGCCTATTGCTGTTCACCTTTCTTTCCGCTTGTTCAATTGATTTCAATACGTTAGATGCTATAGATAAATGCAACTACATTCTCAGGGGAGATAACCAATACAGTGTTCAAATAGGAAAATACATTAAAGAATGTTTCCATCTTAGAGAACACGTGTTAGAGAATAGTTAACCTTTATTGTTACATCATACATATACTCTGTACGTAAGATGACGTTATCCACACATGTATTTAGCTTTGTTAGATCTTTAGTTAAGTTGTAGAAGACCATACAAAAGTCTCTGTACTTTTTTGTTGTGTCAATAAAGAATCTCTCATATGTTTCATAGGCTGAAGTCTACGTATTGCTTTACCATGATGCAGCCCTAGATGTTCCTCAGATTGCATGCAGCATAGGCCGGACCGGAATCAGGACGACTTACTTTGTTTCAAGGCGATAATCATGTGACTGTTGGCCTACATATGTGTTAGCTAGCGCCTGGGCTTTAGGGTCGTGAATATGCTTCCGATGAAACTTTACAAAAACACAGCCCCCTGAGTTAGACCCTGGCAATTTGCCCTGGAGCCTAGGAGCTGGCCGTGAAAACCGAGCCTGGCGTTCAGGCAATGTACAAGACAGTACAATCGCCACCTCTCTATCGCGTGCAGAAGAATTTTTTTGAAACATTTGCAACAAATTGAAACAAATGTTTTTCTTACTACTCTATAGACATAAATACTACAGTAAATACTGCATTGTGTGTCCTTGACGAAAGAGGTCAATGGCCTCAACTTGCCTACGACAAAGGTCAGGGGTCGGACGCCACAGTGAACTTCGCGGAAGTCGTATCCGAACAGAGAGCACTTGAATCGCTCTGTGCTCGTGTAAAACACCATGGTTAAGCCGGCAGAGGCTGCTCTGTATGCGGCTGTTGGTGGTATCTCCACCGCCGTGGCGGCTCTCAATGTCTTGTACCCCCAGATACGATCGGACCTGAAGTTTATTCGGACGTTCCGAGGCCCGATATCCCGCGTTATGCTTAGGTCACAATTTAAGAAAGGGGCCCGCTCGGCGCGTGTTCGGCGTGTTTTTTGGCACTACCGAACGGGACCTGGACGGAGACCGGCGGGCTTCCCGACGGCTGCCGGCCTATTTTTGGCCCCGCGCGGTCGCCGAATCGATTTTAACTCAGAGTTAAAATCACTTCGGGCCCCGTTCGGCGAAATACGCCGAAGCGACACCGTAACCTCACTGCCCGGAACCCGTTGGGCGGCCGAACAGGCACCTGCCTAAGATTATGACGTCACATGTGCTGATAAGTGCATAAGGTGGTAAGGAAAATGGGGTTATATGGGACATATGTAAACTCCTTGTTCAGATTACGTCGCACAGTTCATCACGCGTGTGTTACACCGTGTACTTGTGTGTCAGAATGCCGATGGGCAATGTAAAACAGCCGAGACGATAGCCCGGCATACAAAATGTACATGTACTTCAGAACAGTGACATTGTGTTGCATGTGGGCTACCCTTAAGGGAAACTCCAAGGATCGGTAGCTGTTCCCGGTCGCCAGGAAACGTAGGGTAATGGCGAGTTTTAGGCCTGCTGGCAAGGGCTGTCTGGCACTGGATAGAATTGAACAGAAGTGTTACATACAGACTGGACTGTAATATCTAAATTTGCTGTTATTATATAACATTATGGATACATTGAAATGTGTCAAGAAGTAGAGGGCATTCACCAAAAAAGCACTTGCTCCGGACTTTTCTCGATGGATGGGCCTACACGTTGTAGGGGGTCGTGAAACATCTATTTAAAGTCGCAATGATAGCAGGCAGTGCAGCGCTTATATATACATACCGGCTGACAAACACGACGGGATCCCGCCAGGGACGCGCCAGGATCCTCCCTGGACCCCGCCAGGGACCTGACAGCTGCCCGGCTGAACTGTAAAAGCCGGTCGGCACCCTACCGCAAGCCGCACGAGTCAAGACGGGAGACTGACCGGGCACCGGACGGGTCCCTGACAGAAACCGGCCGCCAAGGGGATCAAAAGTTTATGAATATTAATTAGAAGCCACCGGCCGGAGCACAACCAGGCCCCGACAGGGAGCCGTAAAGGAACATTTCATTGTGACCCTGGCCGTCGGCGCACGCTCGGCGTCATGACGCCGGCCGGCGTCTACACCGAGGACACGCCGAACGGGCGCCGTTTCAAATGTGACCTAAGCATTAGGCGGTACACTACAGCCCAGCCCCCCCGTCTCCCCAGTGGACCGTTTCCTCCACCAGGTTCAGCTCCAGCCAGACAAGCCCTTCGTCCTGTTCGAGGACCAGCTCTACACGTACAGGGACATGGACGTCATGTCCAACAAGGTGGCCAACTACTTCCGCGGGGAGTCCGGCTTCAATCCCGGCGACAACGTCGCCATGTTGGTTTACAACGAGCCAGCCTTCGTCTGGACCTACCTGGGCCTGGCGAAGTTGGGGGTAAAGATCGCGCTCCTGAACACCAACCATCGGAGCAAGTCCCTGTTGCACTGCGTCACGGAGGCAGATACGAAGGCTCTCATTGTGGGACAAGGTGAGATTTTTGTTTTGAAGGTACGACCTTGCTCACCCCCTCACAGGCTGCAAGTCAACAACATGTAGGTCATTCACCTTTGCTCGTAGGATCCCAGGATACAGTTGAATAGAAATTGAATACTTCTAGAGACTATTGAGAGAGGGGCTGTCTATAGTACATGAAGGGGGTCTTTTCCCAGTAGACTAAGGTTTCCATCAATTTTGCTTACACTTCATGCAAGTAAATTTGTCCCAAAAGAAAATCATCTTGTTATGTACACGTATCTTAATACTTGAATCGCTCATACTTTCCATATCAGGCGATGCTTTACTGGAGGCAACAATGGAAATCTTACCGGCACTGGAGGAGCTTGGTGTGAGGGTCTGGTTACAGGGAGACAAACCTGCTCCCCAAGGCTTTCTTTCATTGGATGACAAAATCAGTCAATCGTCCGACCAGCCAATCCCATTCAAGTTACGAG